TCTTCTTACCGACTCGGAGCCGAGTCTCGCCGAGTCTCGCCGGCTGCAAATGCTGCCTGGTCGGCCGCCGCTGAAGCGGGTGCGCCTTTACCCCGACCCACGTGCCCCGGCCGCGGCCGGTCCCTCGGCGCACAGCGCCGCGGGCCGCTCGGGCCGCGCCGAGGACAGCGCCGAAGCCCGCCGACGCCGCTCGCCTGCGCAGCGCCGCCGCTGCCCTGCGGCACTGCCGCCCATCGCCCGGCCCTCACCGTGCCACCGCCCACTCGACCGACGCCGCCCGCGCCTCTTCCCATAGGCGGGGTGAGCGGCCGGCGGCTGCACTCGACGGCGCGGCGTCGTGTCGGGCGCTGCGGAGAGCGCGTGGCTGCTCCTCGATCCCGACGAGGACAACGGATCGCCGCTGCGCGGCTGGACCGCGTCTTGCGACGCCGCATGCCGCCGGCTCAAGCCCGTCGATCTACGTGCGGTGCGGCTGCAGTCCGAAGGCGGCGGCGGCGGCGGCGGCGGCGGCTCTGACGGCGCTCGGCGGCACCGTTGCCGACTACGCGGAGATGCTCGATGCGCTCGACGACGCGCTCGACGTCTCCTCGCCGCTGCGCGCCGACTCGCCGGTCTCGATGCAGGTGTGCGCGCCTCTCCGACCGCGTAGCAGCAGCCCCCTCCGCTGCGTGGCCAGGAGGCGCAGCGGCATCCCCGCCCGACGGTCTTGTCCACCCCGCCGTGCGGCGGCGTTGCGTGCAGGTTCTCGTCGCCGCAGCGGCCGACCGTTCGCAGCTTCTCCTCAAGGCTGAGGCCCTCGCCCCTAGATGCGGAGTATCTCCCCATATCTCCCCGTCTCTCCCCCATATCTCGAGGCCTCGAAGCGGACTCTCTCCCCACATCTCCCCACATCTCCCCGTCTCTCCCCCCTATCTCGGGCCCTAGAAGCGGGAATACGGGTTGATCTCCCCAGATCTCCCCAGCTCTCCCAAGCTCTCCCAAACTCTCCCCAGCTCTCCCCACCTCTGCCCAACTCTCCCCAGATCTTCCCAGCTCTCCCCACCTCTCCCCACCTCTCCCCAAGCTCTCCCCAGCTCTCCCCACCTCTCCCCAACTCTGCCCACCTCTGCCCGACTCTCGCGCAAGGCGCTCGACGACCTCGACGCAATCAAAGAGAAGGTAGCGGACCGCACCGGCTGGCGCGAGCGGCGCGCCGCGCTGCTTCTCGCCGTCGGCCGGCACGGCGAGGCGGGCGAGGAGTACCTCGCGCTGCTGAAGCGCAACCCGGAGCACTTCGGGTGGCACGCGGGGCTGCAGGCGGCAGCCCACCCACTAGTCCACCCACCAGGTAGTGCTCTCCTCCCCGGCGGCTCCGCTGGCAGGAGGAGGAGGGGTCCTCCTCGCCCTTGCGCCTGAGCCTGGTCGCGAGCAGCTTGGCGCAGTCTATCTTCTCGCTCTCTGATTCGCTTGAGCCCCTCCTTATCACGCCCCTTCCCACCGCTCGCTCAATATCGTCTACGATGTCCCATCGCCTCCTCTCCTATCGTCGACTTCCTCACCACATTTCGAATCTCCACCAGGCCGCCACGCTGCAGAGCGGCGACCCCGACCGAGCGGTCGTTGCCAGTTGACAGGAGATGCGATCTCGTCCTCAGGCGGCCACGCTGCAGACGGCGACCCCGACCGAGCGGTGGCTGAGCGCGGAGGTGACGGCGGAGGCGGAGGCGACGCTGGCCGCGCTGTACAGCAAGCTGCAGAAGGCCTACCCGAAGAGCCAGGCGTGCATGCGGCTGCCGCCAGTGTGTGTCCACCTCCAGAGAGTTTTGACTCCGAGTGTGAAGAGGGTAGGCGTGCATGCGGCTGCCTCTCGACTTCACGCGCTCGCCGCCCGCCTTCGCCGCCGCCCTGGACGCGTACGCGCGCAGCTACGTGCGCAAGGGCGTGCCGTCGCTGTTCGCAGACCTGAAGCCGCTCTGCGCCGAGGGCGCGTGGTCGCGTGTGCTCTTCGGCGAGGTCGTGGCGGGGTGGGTGGGCGCGCTGGAGGCGACGGGCGCCTTCCCGGACACTTGCGAGAAGGAGCCCCCGTCGACGCTGATGTGGGCGCGCGTGCTGCTGGCGCAGTACTACGACAGCTGCGGCGACACTGCGGCGGCGCTGTCGCAGCTGGACATGGCGATCGGCCACACGCCAACCTGCCTCGACCTCTACCTCTTCAAGGCAAGATGCGCCCGAGATCGTGCTCGAGATCGAGCCGAGATCGCGCCGAGATCGAGCCGAGATCGAGCCGAGACCGAGCCGAGATCGAGCCGAGACCGCGCCGAGATCGAGCCGAGATCGAGCCGAGAATGAGCCGAGATCGCGCCGAGATCGCGCCGAGATCGCGCCGAGATCGCGCCGAGATCGCGCCGAGATCGCGCCGAGATCGAGCCGAGATCGCGCCGAGATCGCGCCGAGATCGAGCCGAGATCGAGCCGAGATCGCGCCGAGAGCAGACTTGCCTCGACCTCCTCCCTGCCCGCTCCCAGGCGCGCGTGTACAAGCACGCGGGCCACGCCTCCGCCGCTGCTCGTTGGATGGAGGAGGCGCGCAAGATGGACCTCGCCGACCGGTACCTCAACACCAAGGCGACTTCATTAAAGTTAATTAACGCGAAGTAGTTACTTAATGAATGGCCTTGCCGACCGGTACCTCCACACCAAAGGCGACGCGCTACCTGCTGCGCGCGGACCGCGTCCCCGAGGCGGAGGCGAGGACCGCCCTTCCCGACGCAGGGTTTCGCTTCACACCGCGCCGCGGCAGGCCGTCCTCCTTGTCCACAGGCGACGATCGCCCTCTTCACCAAGGACGGCGGCTCGACCCTCCACGAGATGCAGTGCGTCTGTTAATTCAGTAATTAAGTAATTAATTATTTAATTAATGGCCCTCCACGAGATGCAGTGCGTCTGGTTTGAGCTCGAGGCTGGCGGCGTCGTCCCGTGCCTTGAGGGACTCCTCTTGTCTTAGGTGCGTCTGGTTTGAGCTCGAGCTGGCGGCGTCCTACCTGCGCACGGGCGACTACGGCCGCGCGCTCAAGAACTTCGCGCACGTGGAGCAGCACTTTGCAGACATTGGCGAGGACCAGTTCGACTTCCACACCTACTGCGTGCGCAAGATGACCCTCCGCGAGTCCGTCGAGATCGCCCCTTCGCCAGCTGGCCGCTGTGAGGAGCGCCTCTTCACACCTGCAGCTGTGAACAGGTGCGGGGCCGGGTCCTCCGCGACAGCTGTGAACAGCGTCTCCTCACACCTGCAGCTGTGAACAGGTACGTCAAGATGGTCCGCTTCGAGGACACGCTGCACGGCCACGCCTTCTACGTGACCGCCGCGTGCGGCATCATCGACACCTACCTCCGCACCCGCGACCGTTGGGCAGCTGTTCACACGCGCAGCTGTGAACAGGCATCGTCGACACCTACCTCCGCACCCGCGACTGTTGGGCAGCTGTTCACACGCGCAGCTGTGAACAGGCATCGTCGACACCTACCTCCGCATCGTGGCCAAGCCGGCGCGCGACGCGGCGGCCGCCGCCGCGGAGGAAGCCGGCGGCGGGCTGAGCGTGCAGGAGCGTGCAGAAGAGCTCGGGCCAGCTCGGGCCATCTCGGGCAATCTCGGGCCATCTCGGGCCATCTCGGGCCATCTCGGGCCATCTCGGGTGATCTCAGCGTGCAGAGCGGAAGAAGGCCGAGGTGACTGACAAGTGGCAGTCCGTCAGTGGTTCGCTTCTCCGCTCGTGCAGGAGCGGAAGAAGGCCGAGTCCAAGCGGCGCAAGGCGGAGGCAAAGGCGAAGGCGGAGGCGGAGGCGCAGGCGAAGCGCGACGCGGACGCCAAGGGCAAGGACGGCAAGGGCGGCAAGAACGGGGGCCGGCAGGAGAAGCCGCCCGACGACGACCCCTACGGCGAGGCG